TCATTTTGTTTTGACTACAGATTCTTAAAAGGAAAGGATTTTTGTTTTATTTAAAGTCTGTTTCTGGGAAGTCATCTAACTTTATGAATATTAGGTTCAGACTATTCGTATAGTAAATATTGATATTGTGCTTATTTACAAATAATTATTTTTATTATGTAGTTGTAGTTCTATCAATATTTTTGTTTAACAAACTTTAAAAATTAACATCAATTATTACACAAGGAATTTAATAATTAAAATCAAGATTAATTAATAGAAAATAAATTACAAAATATTTAATAAACACATATTCAGCAAAGATTACATAATTCAATATATTATTCTGTGTATTAATACTTATAAACAATTACTTAATAAGTAATTAGCACATACTTATATTAATAAGTTATAATCATACTAAAAGGGAACATTGAAGCAATCATATCATTTATTAAGCAATTTATTTTCCATTTAATTCAATCTGTATCCAGTATTAGGATCTATATTTAAATGTAATTAATTTAAATACTTGATTATAACTTAAGCTAAAGAATCAACGAGGAAGTGAGCAGTGTTAATTTAACTTAACACAGTATAATAGTGCAGAATAATGCACAAGAATGCAGAATAATAGACCCAGGTGTTTCCAGTCTTATGACAAACAGTGAGCGCTATCTGTGTATTCAATTGTTTTGCAAACATTGGTTTACGTGACTGTATTTGACCTTAAAATATATCATTTTCCGTATAAATAACGATACAATTGACGCATATTTACAGATCCCTTAAGTTTGCATTCAATTCAATTCAATACAACTTTATTGAGCAAAACACTCAAACCTATGCACAAAGGGTGACATTATTTGTGGGCTATATTTACATATGTATTGAACGCTCAAAACTTGAGATTAAAAACACATTACATTTAAAGGGATTTAAAGGGACTTAAAGAGACAACACTTGTGTCTCATTCACAGTATTGTCTTTAATTGACATTTTAATTGTATTTAAACTAATAGTTTAGACATTTTAGTAAACATTTTGTATATATTTCTTATTTGAACACAATTTAATAGTTTTATAATTCATTGAAACGTTTGTGTGATTGAAGCGAAAATATTTGACACAATTTTGAGGTAAATATTGGACTCAAAACTCGTGAAACCCTTTCATTACACGTAATCTTCATTTGAATGACAAATCATTTGATAATACCTCCAGAAATGTACGCAAACTCTCTGTACGGCTCGCATGGCGTGACTCAGGACTTCCAGAGGAATAGCGCCACCAATACGTCTAGTCATTGCTTTTATCCCAAACAACCCACTTATCCGCCAGCGATGGTCATCGACACCACCAACACGTCGGCGCCCATTACTAACTACCCGTACGTCGGCCGCAAAGGGATGGCTAACCCAACCCCTGTCCCCTCCTATCAGTTCAATCCCATGAGTGGTGTCTCTTGTAATCCATTGCCGTTTACATCGGATTTTCGGCCGCAATCGATATCATTGGCCACTGAGTCCTCCGGTATGATCGCAACACTCGTTGTATATGTTATAGACGTCTAATTGAATGCCATTTCAGGTCAGTGTTCGTCGTCTTCGACCCCTTCCTCGAAGTCCAACACTTTTGACAGAAAGTGTGGTTTCGTTTGCAATGAAAGCAAACCTGAATTACAGCTAATTATGGATCGCTTGGAGACAATGCAAAGAAGTAACCAAACGTTTGAGACAAACGTATTGAACCAATTGAGACAAATGCGAGAAGAGATGTCAGACATGAGGAAAGCCATCCAAGAGCTGCCCATCAGATTCGCCGATTCGTTGACCCAATGCCTGGATTTAGTGAACAATCGCGCCGAATGTCTTTCAGTCGATAGCGAACCAGAAGTGGTGGACGTCTTCGACAAACTGCATCTCAACGAAGACCACGATTTCGTGGAGATATTCAACAAAACAATGACCGCTTCCGAGGACTCGACAGCTGTTAAGAAGTTTGTGTTTCCGTACGACTCGAGTCTAGATTTGGATAAATGGCTGAAACACGACTAAAAATTCGTATCATTTTATTAATAATAATAATAAACAACTATTGATTTATAAACAATTTATACAAAAATGTTTTAAACAATTTTTAGACTATATTTGTTGTTATAATAAGTTATCAAAATATGTAATCAATTTGTTTAACCCAAACAAGTAGTTGTCGTCCCGGCCCTCATTGGGGAACACGTGCGCGAAGTCTATCATTTTGACCAAAGCTTTACTTTGATTGCAGTCATAGGCGAACAGCAAAGAGCTCGATATGAACTGCCATTTGTCCGTATTGTGGGTCTCAAACCACTCGCCAATTGCTCGCATTTGGTGACCAAACTCACTGATTAAGGCCTTATTGTTTTGAACGAATAGTGTTATTGCTGTCGTAAGGGAGACACAGACTTTTCATTAGACTTTTTATTTTTGATTACATTTGCGATCTTCAAAACAAACCTTCATTCACAGTATCTGGCGTTAGACTAATGCCATAATCTTTGTCTTTAACTATATATTCGTTGTCTTTTGATTTATAAATCTATTATTGAATAAATTTATATTATTATTAATATTACTGTTAGAGTTTATTTCTATATATTTACGACAAGTTACTCAATAAAATGAATTCAAGTTTGATATCGTACTGTCTATTAACATCATTTTAAATGCATCAATATTTGTTTCAGTATTCATGATCGGGTGCTACAAAATATGGGTAACTAAAGTGTTCAGGTATATTTTATTTTTAATGAATACCGTATTTATAAATGTTTGAATGCAGTCATTGAATGAATACTATATCGAGTGATTGAAACTACAATTAAGTACCGGTAAGACTGGTTAACTGATAACAGTAACAGATGTAAGCATTCACTGCAATATTATCGCAATTCATGTCATCATTATCTCAATGAATCACATGAATAGCACACATACTGTAAGGAATGGGGTTTGAAAGTGAGACAAAGTATGGGTGATAATAGTGGTGACAAATGGTGGTCTATTATCACCAATTGATAGCACTTACTCTCATCCCGAGTAGTCTGAAGCCCAAGAGCTCAGCGAACCGGTATTTGCCGGACTCGGAGGCAATCTTGCGTTCATTGGCTTCCGGGTCGTAAGTCTTGGGACCGATCTTCACGTCCAGTATCGATGGCGACGTCATACCATTCGTCATGTCTTCGAGCCTCAAGTACTCGCGTCCCGTCTTGTGGTCGACGAACACACCATTCATTTTGGGCACAAATTGTCTCAACGTTTGGATGTCTTCATGGAAGTCATGGTTTGAGTCCCAGATCTTCGAGTATAACCGGAACTCCCTTTCACTGCGTTTATCACAAATAGGTTTCAGGATATCATTGGACTCGAGATGTCTTAATAGCGCCAAATGTGTGGCCGAGTATCCAAAGCGATGTCCGGCCACTTGATTGTCCAACGGATCCGTTCCCTCTGGAAAGCCGTCTTCTCGCGGGTCCAGCCCTTTGTCGCCGTTCTCTCGACTCGAGTTCATCACTATCACCTCAAAGCTGGTCCCACGCTATCACTGGTTAGCACTAAGCCCAAGCTTCCATCGCTTATATCGCAAACAATTATCTGTGGATCCGATTACAAGACATATTCAACACATTGTTTGCATTGCTTTCCAAAACTTCTTATCTTTTTGTCAATTGTTTTGAAAAATATTTTTACAAATCATATGATCTTTTCGTCACAAATAACGTTACCATTCAGTCTTCCCATTCTCTCTCTCTCTCTTTCTCTCTCTCGCTCTCTCTCTCTCTCTCTCTCTCTCCAATTTATCTCTTTAATTAATTTTTCAATTTAATTTACTTTTTATTTAAGTAAAATAAGTTTAATATTGAGATAAAGTTAGCACTTATTTCCAAACACACCCTAATCGAGGCATAACTATTGGCTCTATGTTAGGGTTGTCTGTTAGATTGCAATAATAAGCAAGGTCATATTCGAATTATGCTAATAATGAGACTTCTGTGTTTGCAAATTGATTATCAATATTAATTTGAAATAGGATGTCATATGAATATACTGTTTGACTGACTTTTGGTCAATGAAAATCCTTATCAGATTGTTAGCAAATCTTTGCTCAACACTACTGTATTGAAACCCAAGTTTGGTAATCATTTACAGAAAAAAGTTAATTTACATTCACATTATTCAATAGTAAAGACCGGTAATAATTTAGTAAAACGGAAATATAAGCAAAAGTTAGAGTTTAAGCATATATTAGAATTAATTAAAAATAAATTATTAGTATTTATGCAAAAAATATCTTTAAAATGTATCTTACTTTTAGTTATTTAGTATAATTTCAAACCCAATGTTCTCCACCGATTTGTGGGAAAACTGAACACTTGTGTAACAAATTCAAGTGAATTAAAGTGAAAATACTTCTAACACATTAATTTTATGATTATGTCCATCGATTAGATAAAACAGTTATTAATACCAGTAATAGACATGTAAACTACAGTTACATTTGTAATCATGTCTTATATAAAACACAAATAATGAAATAACATTAAATTGGAAAAAACGAAACCATTTCCAAAACAGGCGTTGACTTAAACTTTATTATGCGTTTCGTATGAATTAATTTACATTATTATGAATAAATTGCTTTTCTAAAATAAAATGCCTCTAATCGGACATCGCTTTGGATACTCGGCCACACATTTGGCGCTATTAAGACATCTCGAGTCCAATTTATCTTTTTAATTAATTTTTCAATTTAATTTACTTTTTATTTAAGTAAAAAAAGTTTAATATTGAGATCAAGTTAGCACTTATTTCCAAACACACCCTAATCGAGGCATAACTATTGGCCCTATGTTAGGGTTGTCTGTTAGATTGCAATAATAAGCAAGGTCATATTCGAATTATGCTAATAATGAGACTTTTGTGTTTGCAAATTGATTATCAATAGTAATTTGAAATAGGATGTCATATGAATATACTGTTTGAATGACTTTTGGTCAATGAAAATCCTTATCAGATTGTTAGCAAATCTTTGCTCAACACTACTGTATTGAAACCCAAGTTTGGTAATCATTTACAAAAAAGTTAATTTACATTCACATTATTCAATAGTAAAGACAGTAGTACCGGTAATAATTTAGTAAAACGGAAATATAAGCAAAAGTTAGAGTTTAAGCATATATTAGAATTAATTAAAAATAAATTATTAGTATTTACGCAAAAATATCTTTAAAAGTATCTTACTTTTAGTTATTTAGTATAATTTCAAACCCAATGTTCTCCACCAATTTGTGGGAAAACTGAACACTTGTGTAACAAATTCAAGTGAATTAAAGTGAAAATACTTCTAACAAACACATTAATTTCATGATTATGTCCATCGATTAGATAAAACAGTTATTAATACCAGTAATAGACATGTAAACTACAGTTACATTTGTAATCATGTCTTATATAAAACACAAATAATGAAAAAACATTAAATTGGAAAAAACGAAACCATTTCCAAAACAGGCGTTGACTTAAACTTTATTATGCGTTTCGTATGAATTAATTTACATTATTATGAATAAATTGCTTTTCTAAAATAAAATGCCTCTAATTTGCTAACAATTATAACAAAGAAAATATATATAAATCTTCAAAAACTCAATATAATTCAAATAAAATCCTAAAACATCTCATTTTAATCGTTAGTATAACAAAGAGTTAAAAGTCGTCGTCCCAACCGGTCATATCATCCAAGGGATCGCCATCCGTGTCGGGCGGGTACTGATCGAAGTTTGAGTTGTCGATTGCACTTCGGATCTAATCGTAACAAACAAAACATCATAATCTCTTATCATTACGCAATGCATTGTGTTTTGATAGCACATACGAGTGGCACTATTGGAGGAACGAGAGTACGGGTTTTGAGACTATTGCACTTCGGATCTAATCATAACAAACAAAATATCATAATCTCTGTTATCATTACGCAATGCATTGTGTTTTGATAGCACATACGAGTGGCACTATTGGAGGAACGAGAGTACGGGTTTTGAGACCTTCCCAATAGAAACCATCAAACCATCTGTTGTCACAATAAAACATTTTATTGTCTCAATTAAAGGCGCAAATCGAGTGAAATATACTTATGTTTTTTGATGTCTTCAATGCCTCCCTTTTGGTATCCGAGTCTCTCCGCGGGGTTGTCTCGACACAACTTCTTGATGAGGTTCGTCGAGTTGCGGGACACCGTGCGGGGGAAGTCTATGGCGTCGATGCCTTTCAGTATTATGTTATACGTCTTCATGGGATCGGGTCCTGTGAACGGAGGTCTAAAAACCAAGACTTGTTAACAAATCTATTGAATGGCAAACGAGTTCTGATACATACGTTCCGGTAAGCAATTCAAACATAAGCACTCCTAATGACCAATAATCAGCTATAAAGTGAAACAATATTAAGTAAATTATAAATAGTAATAAAAAAATCATTTCTGGTCAACAATTACCAGAATAGTCGTGTCCGCGGTTAATTCAAACATAAGCACTCCTAATGACCAATAATCAGCTATAAAGTGAGACAATATTAAGTAAATTATAAATAGTAATAAAAAAATCATTTCTGGTCAACAATTACCAGAATAGTCGTGTCCGCGGTTAAGAATAATTTCTGGCGCCACGTATTCCGGACTAAATGCATATTTCATATCATTTAATGCTGTGCTATACATGCAATTGACTTAACAATTAAGACAATACATACGTTCCGCAGAAAGTCCAAGTCTTACGGCCGGGCGGTAACAGGCGTTTAGCGAATCCGAAATCCGTGAGCTTCGCGAACCCGAACTGATCCAAAAGCATGTTCTCTGGCTTGAGGTCGCGGTATATGATGTTTCGTGAGTGCAAGTAATCAAACGCTTCGATAACACACGAGACATAGAAGCGGGTCGTCGTCTCATCGAAATGTCCCCGATCTCTGAGTATAGTCCACAGCTCGCCCCCCAAACAGGACTCCAATAACATATATAAATATTTGGCATCTGTCGAGTAAGTAACACACGAGTCAGTGACCACTTTCTCGCTATTCAAATCAAATCATTGGAAACCTTTGAATGTTTTGTACAGTTTGACAATGAAATCACAGTTAGATTCCATCATAATTTGCTTTTCACTTAAGATGTGCTGCTGTTGTCTCGTCTCTACGATCTGAGCCTTTTTCATGACTTTCAGCGCAAAACTCTTAGTCTGATCGGTGGCTAACGTAACCAACTCTACGCGACCAAAACCTCCCACTCCAAGAGTGGCTACTTTTCTCAAATCAATCAATGCAATGCCCGCGAACTGCTCGTTCAGTCTAAATCATTCACAATCAGTCATTTAGATATCACATAAATCTTAAGTTAATTTGTTACATCAAATGTTAACCATTAATGTTAAACAGAAATATTATGTTATGAGTTCAAGAAATTCAATGAGAAATACCTCCGAAATTAGTTAGTCTTCTCAAGAGAAGCGTTAAAAAAGTAATAAGTTTTTAAAATACAAGTAATTCAAAGAGAATAGTTTTGTCAAACACTTACTTCCGTCTCTCAATCACGTCTTCCTCATATCGTTTAGTCTTAATGTCATCCAAATTGCTAATCAGATGATTAAATGATCTAAAGGTAATCAATTGAATAACATGTCACACAAAATGCCACAAAAATAGAAAAAGATTAATATTTCATACTCTCTATCGATGACCAAACAACTGACACCAGAGTCTGAATCTGCGATTATGTTAGCCGTGCGGATATCGTCCCCCTGTAGGGCACGTTCACCGAAGAATTCTCCGCGATTTAGGGTTCGGATGAATTTCTCGGGAACGTTGTAATCCATTCCCTCGCCATTTGCACTCTGAGACAACACCTCTTTAAGAGTCACTTTAACTGTTCCTTTGCTTATGATAAAGAAGGTGTCGCCCCGACCGCCCTGTCTTATGATGTAATCTCCCTTTTGGTAAGTGGTCTGCAGTTAAAAGTATAAACATATTTCATTTGATTAATTAAATCACTTTATCGATAAAATCTTGATATAATGAACTTAAGATATACCTCTTCGAGCACATCCACTATTTTCATGATCGTCTCGTCGGGCAGTTTCCTGAACGTGGGAACAGTCTTCAGGAAATCCATGTACTCCTTCTGCCTGATGAGACCCGTCCTCACATTAATCGCTTTGAAACACTGTCTCTCAATCGCCCATAGCTTACAGTCGGTGAGAGCTGTCAATGAATACAAGTTATGATACTTTTGTATAAAAAGAGACATTTGAGGAAAAAATGCTCAAAAACTGATAATTAAGTTATGAATTAAAAAGTCATTAAAAAACTAAATAATAGAGAAAAAAAATAAAAACACAATTTCAAAGAAAATTTTCAAAACCCTAAACATAAGTAATTATAACAATAATTAAAACACAAGGCTTTACAAAACTAAAGGCTAATAATAGAGTAATAACATAGTGTGACATACCTTTGACTGTAGCAGTTCGGGTGCAGTTGTAGAGTATAGCGAGTTCACCAAACACTTTACCAGGGCCCATTTTGGACAAAAACTTGCCCCCTTTGCTCACCTCAACGCTGCCCTCCTCCATGACATACACAACAGATCCCACCTCTCCTTCTTTGATGATAAAGTGATCCTTCGCGTACTCCGTGGGATACATGCAGTCCGTTATCTCTTTGATCTTTGCTTCCTCTAAATTCTTCATGAATTCATTTTCTAGGATTGCATTCATAATGAGAGTTCGGGAACTGAAAGTGAAAAACATTGGAAAACAAAAAACATTTATTTTAGTGCTATTATCAACGCGATTGTGCTCGTAAATGACAAATCAGTTTTTGTGATTTATTTTCTTTCTAATCAAATAAAGGGTATAATTATTGCCATTATAGATATTTCGTCAACACTTTTGCAAACGCATTGTTTGTATTGTTTTGTTTGATTATAAAACTATAAATATAATAATTCCTAAACACATGTCTTAAATGGCATAAATTGCTATTAATATATCATAATATTATTATAAGAAATCCTATAAGAAATCAGTTTCTGAAGGCTTTCTACAGTATTTAAAACTCAAGATTGAAAGGATATTGAAAACTAACAGTAATGTAACGACAAATCAATTATCATTAAGATGTATATACCTCCAGAAGCAAGTGAACTATTTTCAGAGCTCTTTAGTAACTATTCTTAAGTTTGCAATTATTATCGGACTTAACAATCAATCGACAAATAGATGAATCAAAGGCTCGATAGACGTATAGATCTCAGAGTTTTGGGTTTCAAAGGTAAAGGTCTTTCCATTTGATTCGTTTACTTTTCATTTAGACATTTATGGAAAAAAATCTTTAATAAAAATTCATAATGTAAGCTATGTTTCAATTAGTTTCGCTTTGTTTTCATTGCTGTGATTGTATTTGCGGTTAAGATGAGTGGTTAAGACAATTAAGAGAGTTTGCGATAAATTAATGATTGATTTGAGTGAGAATAATGTCTTATGAAAGAGTAAAAAGTAATTTATCGATAATTAAGATTTCTTAACGTAATATAAATTAAATTATAGTTTCATATAAATCCAAAGGTTGTTTGCATTCAATTATCACTACTATACGAGACTTTGTCAGCAAAAGCATAGCAACTATAGAGCAAAATGTTAGTCAATCTTGAATTCCTTAAGACCCAGATTGCAGTCGAGTCCACACCATTCACGTGAATTCAAGACACTTTGGATCCCGTTTTGATCACTTTTAATGATTTTCTAGATTATTATAGACATTAATTTTGTTAATATAACGGTATTTCTTATCACTGATTGTCTAAAATTAAATTTCGATAATTTCCTATTAATTTCAACTGATATCAACTTCATTATCGCTAACATTAGTCCTGTATATTACAGTTAAGCTAAAAATACATTTTACAGATTCTGTAAATCTCTTATTACAGAATAATTTGTCCGATTTGTAGCGATCATACGAGTATTACTTTGTATTCATAGTGAATATCCCATAATTAGTGTTTATTTATAAATTGTAATCAACGGTAGGAAATAAAAATAATAACAAATATTGAGTACATTTTATCAAATGTTAAGTTTATTGTTTTGTGGATTTAATCGCAAAAAGCTAGGAATAAAAGCCTAAATATAGATATCAATTGTCGATAAATGCAATTCATGTATTTTATATATCATATAATAATTTTTCCAATCTTCAGTATATTTATTTATTCAAATGAAACTAAAATAATAGTCTACAGTACCACTCAATTTAGAGAGATAATGTTACTAATAAATACTATAAGTATTATTTCAATAAAATCACAATTTTAAATAAATATTTAACCATTAGATTCTAGTATAATAACTAAAGTGTACTATTATAAAATAGTTGCCACAAATAATAAGCTAAAATAAATAATCAAAAATATTTAAATTTAGTGTAAAATGGAAAATAACTAGCGCTATAAATATAATCAAAATAAATAAAATACGAGTTTTGATCAAATATTTCACTCTTTTCTCTGATATATTTAATATAAATTAGGAAATTGTTTGACAAATGAAAATATAATAAAATCATTTGTCACTTTATTTACGATAAAAACTACATAAATATCTTTAATTGTCATCCGATGCTATTTATGTCTCATTAAATAAAAGTGGATATATTATATTAATCAAATGAATGCAATTATAAAGTGAGTATAGTTTTGAACTCATTTTGAACTAACAAGTAAAGCAATTTTTAAATGGACTGTAAATTATAATCATTTTTTTGCATTTTTAATCGCTTTAACTGTTAAAGTTTAACACAATGTCATGGGAGTGTATTAAATACTGTACTTGTCTTTTTAAAAATGTAGTAAAAGTGACGTTCAAATTAAATATAGCATTATTTTAATATGTTGTTTTGTTAAATTTATCATTTTATAATACACAAACGATTGAATTTTTAAAAAATATATTAAATAATAAGCGCTACAAACATGTAAAAATATCTATAAATAATTGTTTTCTGTTTGGTTTAAACTCAATTCAATTAATACATCTGTTTATTCAAACATTTGTATATAAATTAAATTACAGTAAATCCATATTTTTTGAACGATTCACTAAAATATAAGCGAAATAACGACCAAAAATTCCCATTTAGTTGCATGAGTTTTAAAATATCAATAATTTATATAAAAACATGAAAAATAAATATTTAAACTTTAGATTATTAGTTAACTGATTGACAAAATCAATGCATCGCAAAGATATACAATATTTGTGCGCTTTAAACAACTTTTGAGGCTTAACTGTTAATTTGCGAAAACATTTTCAACTCTAATATAGTCTTAATTGAAACAAAACTAATCCAAATTTGGAT